GGCATTGAAATTTCTGTGTGATTGGCCGCTTTTGGTGATCTTCAGGAAATCAGTCAAAAATTGATTATTGAAATAAGCCCTTTTCAGGGATTATCATTTTTGGTGATTTTTTTTTTATTTCTAATTGATTCTGATTTTTTGAGGATGACATGGAACCTGCTAACATGGCATTGAATAATAACTCTAATACAAAAATAACCAGTCCCTGAGAATCAGTACCAAACAGACTCAAATCCGATTTTTCAAAAATTGGCTTACATGGAAGAAATGATACCAAATAACAAAATTTATCGATTTTTTTTAAAAAACACTAACTTCAAAAATCTTTAATTTTCGAAAAATTGACAAGAAAGAATCAACGTTGATGCCAAACATAAGTTAAGATATAGGGGTGTCAATTGGACTGGACTTAGTCCAATCCGATCCAGTCCAATGTGAGTCCATTATAAATGGACTAGATCCAATCCAATCCAATCCAATGAATGTTTTGGACCAATTTGCACCGGTCTAGTTCAATGTTTGGACCATCCAATCTGTTCAAATTCATTTTGATTTAGATTGGTTTCAACCCAAACCCGGTCCATTGACACATATTCTTATCTTATATCAATGGACCAAATATTGGCTTAATCCAACCCAATCCAATATAAATTTGTTACGAGCAGATTAGGTCCAATCCAATCTAATAAGTATTTTGAACCGAATTGGTCCAATCCAATATGTCTTGTTGGTCCGTCCAATCCATCCAAATTGATTTTGGACTGGACGGAGTCCAATCCAAAACCGGTTCATTGACATCCTTAGTTAAGGTTCGTTACATGCATCAACTCCAGATTCGGGGTTTGAAGGAGACTCAACCATTAGTTAAAATGCTGAAACCTATAAACCAAACTGGTAGATATGGTTGAATTTGAATACATATGAAATCTGAAATTCATGGTTGTCGTGTTTCCTGCAAAGTTTTCTGTAAAGTATATCAGTTATTTAAGTAGAGAAGCTAATAGGACTGCATATAGACTTTCCAAAATGGGTGTCAGGTACCATGGACCCGGGGGGCTTAGACCAGCTCCCGGATTTTCTGTGCCAAAGTGTACTGCTGGAAGCTAGGCTTTGGCGTTCTGTCTTGTTCATGCCCATCCTGATGGATCATTTTGCTAACCCTGAGCCATCACATGTTCTAAGAAAATTTTGAAAAGCAAGCACACCACTCGGAAATGAAGGGAGAAAGAAAGAAATGGACATAAATTGTTTGATATTGATATACTGGTCGACCTAATTAGGTCGGCAGCAAGCAGAGAGCCTTTAATTTCCCTGATTTTGTCTAAAAATTATATGATAGTGGAGGCATGTAACATCACCCACAATGCAGTACATCTGACTTTTGTAGGGACATGTCATGTGGCTCAAAAGTTGCACAAAGCAAGCTTATCTGGAAAAAAAAAGGGTTCCATAAAGTAATTTTTTCTGGGCCTGTAACATATTTAAGGGATCACATTTGCGCAAGGAGTCCTTGCTAGGAAAAGTTTATACAAATCCTTTTACAGGTTTTAAGTCATGTTAGGTTGAGGAAAGAGGATACCCATGGCCAGCTTCTTGGATTGCATCAAAAACTAATAATTCATTCAATATGTCATCTATGGGCCAGATTATAGAGATGCAAACGGATTAGATCATATTAGAATCAGGATATACCCTAATCCGATCCGGTAGCATATATGCTAGATCTGATTCAATCGGATTTCACAGATGGTGGTTCGAATTTGAATCTGTTAAGGATGTCAGATATCCGAATATGGTTTAATCCGATTTAATTTCTGAAATATGTGTGTATTTTTATAAGAAAAAATTGAATCAGATAGGAGATGATCTAAATTCGACCCAATTTTCAATCGGATCTTATATTTAATCAGCTCCGATCTGAAAATCCGGCAGAGGGTTATCTGAATACGACAAAATAAGATTGGATCGGATCATGATCCGGTCTATTTACACCCCCGAAAGACCAATATATGAAGTACATTTTGATCATTTCAATCCGTATTCCCTCCACCCCCTACAAAATAAAACCCAAAATGGACGCCCTTCATTTCACACTCTTTGTATATGCACCACAAAATAGTCTAAAATATTGGCTATTTAAGTGAAAGAAATGCCTTTGAGAAAGAGAAATTATAGCTAGTTAATTATCAGATCATCTTAATCACCACACAAACCCTAGATTCACCCATACCGATATGAACACAAGTGTGTGAAAAGAGGAGGACAATATGGGCTGAAATTTTCATATGGACTACATAAATAGTCTCCCTAGAAGCCTACTCAATCCCCAATTCTTTACAAAGTGGCAGAGCCTAGGCAAGACATTTCTCCAATGATTAGTTGGAGGTAGGAGCTTTCGTCTTGTCCTTTTCTTTGGACATAACTAAGGAATAACCTTGTTTTAGACTTAAGTTTTGTTTAATCACCATTATAGAGTTTCCCTCTTGTTTATAATAAAGGAATTCTAGTCAGGAGCATTTACAATATCACATTTGAGTAGATCCCATAAATTAATGAGGTCTAGAGATGATTTAGATTCATCTGCTAATAATAAGCATCAAAATGATTGATTGATGCATCTAAGTAATGTCAATAATCACTTTATCCTTATAAAGCATGGCCTTGGATTTAAGACAAGAAGAGTTCTTAAATAATGATAAGGATTGAATTGACATAAAAAAAAATTTCTTATGTGGATGGAACTTAACCAAAGATCTATTGACAATTTTGTCTCTGGAGGAAAGTGATTGATAACCTTATAAAAAACTAGGATATGATGGGATTAAATTGATTTACAAAATGGTGCATTGGATATTATTGTAGGTGTTTTTCAGTGGAATAATTAATTTATGATAGTTGTGAGCTTATCTTAAACTTATTTAAGGCTGATAAGCTCAAAAGCTGTGGCCTTAGAACAGAAGATGATGGTCATTAATCAAATTATCAATTAGTTGATTTGATGATGATGGTCTTTAAGAGTCATAACTTTGAAGTAATAATATATAGAGAAAGTGATATATGATAAAAGAGAAGAGGAAGGTGGAGGCTGTTGTTGAGGTTTCTGTTAGGGTTAGAGTCGATATTCAGAAGGTTGGAAACTGAGTCCCAACCTGCAGCTGAAAGATTGGTGCGGGAAGGTCAGGTCTCTCGGAGGCTGAACTAGATGGTAATACCTCGTTAGATGAAGCCGTTGAAGCCTTCAATTTTGGTGGTTTCCCTGGAAGTAGAAAGTTGAGAAATCTGGTGGTGGAATGTTATGTGGATGGTGCAGTGAAGGCAGACAAAGCAAAAATCTAATACATCCAAAGGGTCAAAACCAAGTAGAGGAAGAGGGAGAGGAGGCAGGGGGAGAGCCTCAGCGTAAGGAGGTCCTGCCAACGTGTGATTTGTGGGGGTGTATTCGAAAACGGAACCGTTTTAGCTATCAATTCTTGGTCAAATAGTTTGACTGTTCAGTCCAAAGCCCTTGGGTTGGACGGTTTTGGGGTCTAAAACCAAGTCCGGAGTCAGGATTGCTTCCCGGGTTAACCAGTCCGACCATCCGAGATGGTTTTGGTCAGGGGTAGGTCGGATGCAGGTCGTTAGCAGTATTTTCAGGGTGATTTTGGTTGTTGGGTTGGGGTGATTGACTGGTCGGTCTAATTTTCCGGTTGGACCCACGGCTCTCACTTGTACTATTCCTTTCTTCTTCTAATAATATTTTCTGTTATTTTACCTTGAAAAAAAATAAAAAGAAAAATAATAGAAATAATTCTTTTAGAGAGATGTCACCTAGATCGATATGGAAAGAAGAATTATCTTCTACTTTACTACTATCTGCCAACTTGCAACATCTTTTTTATGCTTGTACTGTTCTCATTCATTTCTTTACATAAAAGCTGAATAAATTGGATGAATATAATTAGTTGAAATTTGGTTAAATTAAACATGGTTAGTAATTCTTATTAATAATGCTAGTGAGTACAAATTTGTGTCCTTTATTCTTAATTAGATGATCCATGTCTTATAATCTGAATAATAGTTAATAAGGATGTTTATCTTTTGTTTTCTCCTTCCATTACCTAACTTATAGCTAGAGAGAATAATGAGTTTTGGACTTCACCATGTATATAACCAATGAACAAATATCTCCATCTCTTCTTCACTACATTTAGTCTCTCTTTGTTTGCAGTGCAAATATAAATCGAAACAAATTTTGCATCTTTTGTTTGTAAATATGATCTGTACTCTTACCGAATACAAAATTTATACTTTTTGTCTCATTTTGCATCCTAAAAACTGATGCAAAATCTTTACCACCCAATTCCCTCTCATATAAAATAGAGTCCACATCATTTTGCTTCTTACCTCACTCTAAATAACCCTCTTCTTACATCCATTCTCTTTCACATAAGGTGGAGTTTACTTCATATGAACAAATAAGACAGTCAAATTAAATTAATTTAAGGATAGTGACAATTACCCCTGAACATTAATGAAATTAAGTTGAATGATAGAAAATATTAATTTACCAAAATACCCATCCAGAAACTTTTATAAAATGGAAATCCCAACAAGAAAACCAAGGAACTTCTACCAAAACTTGGAGTTGCAGTACAGCATGCAATTAATATAAAAAAGTTTAAACAATCACATACGAATCTTTTTCAATGTTAACTGACGGAATGCTAGCTAACGGAGGGGGCCGGTCAGGGGTAATTGCCACTAACCCCAAAGTACAAGGCAGTAATCTATAATTTATCCTAATTTACTCTTAAATTAAATATGAAGCCTCAGTTTGAAAGGAGTACAAATACAAATAATATGTAGAATGCAAAACCTTGTATTTTATATGTATTAATTTGTACCGGTACATATTTGCACTTGTACTCTTTCCAAACTGATGAGCCGAAGTAAAACTAATAAACCAGGAACTACGTACACTCTACCTATTTGCAGTCCCATGCATTTACACCAGTTCAAATTAATGAAATTCAAACAGAGCCACATAAAAACTTAAAGCAATCAGATGGATGATGAGGTAGACACGTAGAAGTATGATAAAGACGCCAAACTTAGTAATAAAGCCTCGTAGATGGTAGTTTGCACTTTTCTCTATTTCTCTCTATCTAACAACTCCATGCGAACAGCTGATCGATCAGCTTGTTAGGGTAGTGCCTCAAGATCACAAGAGAGTTTTCCTTTACATGGACACCGTCATCTACAACCCAAAGCCATCATATTTCATGTACTCCAACGTTAACCAACAAGGCAATGATCAAGCAGTAGACATGAGAAACAACAACCAGCCTCCGGCCAGCCAAGCTTCCACCAGTCATTCATCAGAGTCTGCAGGCGACCCATGTGGTCCTGGAAAATGGGCAGCCAGGCTTCTCCGAGATTGTGCAAAGGCTTTATCTGAAAAGGACTCCAGTAGGATCCATCACCTTCTATGGATGCTGAACGAGCTAGCGTCCGCCTATGGAGATTGTGAGCAGAAATTGGCATCTCACTTCTCACAAGCACTTTTCTGTAAGGCCACAGAAATGGGCGAGCTTTGCTTCAACACTCTGTCGTCTGTTGCAGAGAGGAGCCGCTCCTTTGAATCTGCTAGGAAGATGATATTAAAGTTTCAGGAGGTTAGCCCATGGACAACGTTTGGTCATGTAGCCTCAAATGGGGCGATTTTGGAAGCCTTAGATGGGGAGAGCAAACTACACATAATCGATATCAGCAACACATTCTGCACTCAGTGGCCTACTTTACTAGAAGCCTTGGCCACAAGGAACGATGAGACACCCAGGTTGAAGCTGACTGTAGTGACGACGGTGAGCATGGAGAGGTCGGTCATGAAAGAGATACGCCAGAGGATGGAGAAGTTCGCTAGGTTGATGGGTGTGCCCTTTGAGTTCCACGTTGTGAGCGAGCTATATCGCCTGGCAGAGCTCACCAAGGAAGAACTCGGTGTACAGGATGATGAGGCTGTTGCAGTGAATTGTATTGGGGCCCTGAGAAGGATCAACGTCAAGGACCGAGATGCTGTGGTTCACATGCTCCATACGCTTGGGCCTAAGGTGGTGACGGTGGTCGAGGAGGAGGCCGACTTCACCAGCTCCATGGATGACTTTGTCAAGTGCTTTGATGAATGCCTCAGATTTTACGCATTGTTTTTTGAGATGCTAGAGGAGAGTTTTCTTCCAACCAGCAATGAGAGATTGATGTTGGAGAGGGAGTGCTCCAGGAGTATTCTTAGTGTGTTGGCTTGTGATGAAGGTGATGGTGGTAGCTGCAGTACTGAGGAATCTGAGAGAAGAGAGAGGGGGAGACAATGGTGTGATAGGCTTAAGGAGGCCTTCTCACCAGTTGGGTTCAGCGACGATGTGGTAGATGATGTGAGGGCACTCCTGAAGAGGTACAGAGCCGGATGGTCACTTGTGCTTCCCCAAGGAGATGATGATTCGGGCCTTTACTTGACATGGAAGGAGGAACCTGTTGTATGGGCTTCAGCTTGGAAACCCTAGACCTATAGAAGAACCCTTCTTCTAAGACTAAAGCAGCTAGCATACTGTCAACCGAGAGCTTAGAGTTAGGGTTGTGGGAGTGAAGTGAAGGTGGCATATATTTTGGATCGGATCAGTTGGGAAACTTGAAGCTTGCATGAACATAGCTGTATGCATAATTCATCTTATTTTTATTCAAATATTCCTACGCTTGGAATTGTGTTGGTTCTTGTTGTTGTTGTTGTTGTTTTTGTTATCTTCTTCTTTGAAGGTGGTTGCACTTTGTTTCTTTCTTCAAATATACTGTTACATCCAACTGGATTTGTTGCATAGTTTATGGATCATTTCTTCCCCCTTCCCATAGTTTCTGTTTTCAAGTCCATATAAAGCTCTGATATTATTAACCCACATTGAATTCACTATGAAATTAAAAATCAAATTCATGTATAACAACCAAGTGATCAAAAATTATATATTGGGCTCTTTGGGTGATATATATCTTAGCAGGCTACAATCCATCTCCTTCACATATTCAGTTGGATGACCCTAAAATGCTAACCAGTCCAGAGAAGGATGGAATGCTTGGTTTATTAGATAGCAAAAGAAACATAGTAGCCATAACTCTTGTTCTAACTATAATTGTCAAGCCAACTGGTGATATCAAAACATTAGCATGCTCATGGTTTATCCAGTGACAGCTCAAACATTGAACTGTAACTCATATAGATATAGGCATATAGCTTTCCAAGAATCAAATAGCAGACAGCACAGCAGATTGGATCTAGATGGCTATAACTAGACAAATTAAAAGGTTTGAGCTTTGTTGATTAAATTTGAAGAGATAGAAGTAAAAAAAAAAAAAAAGTGGGCCCAGGAGTGAGCTTGGTGGCAAACACAAAACTACCTACTAAATCCCACTGTTGCGTTTTTGTCTAGTGATAAGAACAGCATATGTGCCTTTAAATGCCACACATGCATTTTTTATACGGCCCACACCATATGGTGGAAACAACTTTTCTGCATTTTTGACAAGACTGATACTTTCAGCCCAGCAATGTTTGATACGTCTCTGTCCTTCCCCTATAAAGTCAGCTAACAGCTTAGCCCCAACTAGACACATTCATAATAAGTAACTTCTGGTGTGGAACCGCCAAACCCCATTCTCTCAAACCACCCCTCTCCCACCAGCTAGCTTCTTTCACCTGTAACTCTCTGAGATCAGTTACAGGACTTATAGGATAGTTGCTAAGAGTCATTCTATTGTACTGAGTACTCTAGAGTCTTTCAATGCAAATATACAGTGCATTATTCTCCTCTGGTGGACTGTTTCATTTATGTCTCACCCAAGTGATGAATTGCAGTTGATATAATTGATGCCCATCTCATATTCCTAGGGGGACCCTATTACTTGCTTCTTAGATGTCCACATGCATAGAACGAATTCCTTCATTAATTGAATGGTCTAGATTTATTAACATCTGAACCATCTTGAGGGTAGGGAACCCAGATGGAGCTCCAACACATACCCCCCCCCCAAAAAAAAAAAAAACAGTAAAAAAAAGAAAAATTCTTTTAGATACATTGAACAATTGAACATTATTTATCTTGGTTTATATGCCATGAACTGTTGGTCATGCATAACTACAAGCAGAAACCAACAAAGAGAAGTTTCTTTTGTCCTAATTAAGTTGTCATGTAGGGCATTATCAATGTAGATTCTGTTAACTTCATGATTCAGGAATGATTGAAACATTATTATTATTATGGCTTTGTGTTGATGTGGACTCTGATTTGCTTTCTACCACATGGGGGCCGGGCCGGGTCTCCTTACACTGCAGCATGGAAAGGTATTGGACGGCAGGCCTCTTTTCTGTTTGTGTTAAAGTCAGTAGGGTAAAGTGGAAGAAAAGAAAAGATAGCAAAAGAAAGTAGTGTTCCATTTTCTGATCAAGAATATATGAACACTTGACTCAAGTCAACCTACAAACACAGAGGAACCCTGGATTTATTTATTTATTTGCAATCACTCAAACAGAAAATCTTTATTTGGTCTTCATCATGTATATATTTAATTACCAGAAAACAAGCTTTTTCTGTTGGAGCTAGATTGCACCCAGCACTTTTGTGATCAGTTGCACCACCTTGTAGTTCATGTCTCATCCTGATCTGGCATTGCACCTTAATTAAGCCTGGTTATTTCCAGTGCAATTTCATTTGCACTGGTGCAAAACTATGGGATAACAGATGATTTGAGTGAAAATTCTATTAATCCATTTAACTTTCATTATATCTGCCCTACTTTGTTTGTTTGCATTGCAGATGAAGCAAAATAAAACCTAAAACAAAGTAAAGATAAAACCCAAAGCAAAAATAAACCAGAATTTGCATTCTTCTCATTTGCACTAAGTAATGCAAACCAAATTACATTTGCGAATAAATGGACCCTAATTAAACACATAAATTAGGGTAAAGTGCAAAAGATAAAAAGAAAAAAAAAATAAGCTAAAATCATATGATACTAGGCCAAAACTTTGCTGTTGTGCATTGCAACCAGCATTGTTATCTTCTACCAATAAATAAATAAATAAATAAACGTTGTTATCAGTTGCACCTTGATGTCTACTGTCATGGCCCATTCTGATTTGGATTGCACCTTAGGCTGTGTGTTTGGTTACAATTGAACTAGTACAAATGCATGGGAGTGCAAACGAATAAAAAAACGCAAATTACTGGGTTAATTTTGTTTTGGGATTTATTTTATTCTGCTTCAGGTTACTTCATTTCTACTGCAATCAAACACAATAAGGTAAAATTTGAAACAAAAATAACCCAAATCATTTGCACGATATATCATGGTTCTGCATCAGTGCAAATAAGTTTGAACTACAACCAAACGCAATTAAGCACATAAATTGCAACCCATAAAAGCTAGTGTAGATATTTTATGGTATCATACAGAAGTGGGATGTGCCATAAGTCCATAACACATACGTACATACATATATACGGACAGAATCAAACTTTGAAAGAAGAAATCAAATCAAGAATCACATATATGCATGCCATCACATTGAAGGAAAGAACCTTTCTTAATTTTCTGGAATGATCCTTCCAAATTCGCTCAATTAACATGGAGATTCTCCACTTGTATTACTTGGTTTGACTCACTCCTTAGTTTTCTTTAAGGAACTGGGTTGCAGGTGGATCCAACTTAATCAATTCAATTTACTCAGAAAGCTCCATCAGGTTCATGTAGATGGACAACCCACTTGGCAGTATTGGCAGTATGCTTTTTAAAGTTTCTGATCGATGATTTTGCAAACTTCTTCATTTTTTCAATTTCTACTTTGTCTGCACTTGCAAATTGACACTCAGCTAAGTATATTGCTGAATGAATCGAAATTTTCATTGATATCTTCTTTTTTTTTTATGAAAAGAAAGATTCGAATTTTCTGGTATAGATAAAGTAAACTTTATGATTCTTAATGACCCACCATGTGTACAAAGTAGACAAGTAAATCTGATAGAAAATATATAGAAGTTTCAAAGGATCGTCCTGGGTCTGGGCCCCCAATCGAACAGCAAGCCTTTCATGTTCAGACTTCAGAGGTTGAAGAATGATGGGCCCATCCAAGAGATTGCCTAGTTCCTAACCTAAATATCAGAATTCAGAATGACTAAACAACCTTGTAAAGTCTAAATTCTTACTAAGATTAAGAATGGGCTGGATAGATTTAAGGTCAAACATGGCCCAATCTTAAATGATATGCTAACATCTTGAACATCCCAGCCCACTATGTTAGGACAAAAGGCCCATGAATGGCCCAAGATTAAGGGTTAGCCCATTAAACATAGTCCATGTGTATTTAAGCAAAACTTTTTTTTTTTTTAATGTAGAGCCATTATCTCAGTGTCAGGACTCAGGATTGGTCTTTGGTCGGTGATCTGCCTGGGCAGGCTGAGCGCTAAGTAGTAAGTGCCCACTGGGCCAGCCCACTTTATCCGTAACTCCAAAAGATCTTCATAGATGGCAGTTTTGCTTTAGCCAAACAAATCTTATAGTGGTGGAATGATTGGTATGATGCCACCTACGTTCGGAAAAACCATGCAACTCCTTGGGCAGTGTTTGGTTTGATAGAAAATAAGAGAGAAACAGAGAAAGTTCTCAAAGGATCTTTGGACATAGCGTTAGGGAGAGAGTAAAGGACCGTTCAGCATGTGTTTCTCTTTATTGTAAGATAATTGAGGTGCATTTCCACTTGTGTGTGTGTGTGAAAGAGAGAGATGAAAAAAGAAACAAGATTTTTGGATGATGGATCATATTGAGTTGAGGACAAGGCAAGTATGGGTGTATGATATTATATGTAAAAATTAATTGTTAATGACCTGATCGATGCTCAGTACGGGAAAATGACATGAAAGCATTTTGTTGGAAAACCATTATTCATAGTGGCAAGTTTCAAACCACATTTGTTGCACTTTATTCTTCTTATCTTTTGCTTTTTTAGTTAATTTACTTGTGTGTTTTCATCTTTGGCACGCCTGAGCTCCCCGCATTTTGGTCGCTCATACTAACGGTTCGCGAGTCCAATCGAGCTTCTATATATATATATATATATATATATATATATATATATATATATATATATATAATATTTATGTATGTATGTATGTATGTATGTATGTGCTCCTGGCCTGCAAGAGNATATATATAATATTTATATTTTTATGCATAATAATAATAATAATAATTAATTACTATAATTATTGATTTTTTAAATATTAAATAAAAAATAATTATATATGTATATATATTTTTATTTTTATAAAACATTGGGTTCATAGTTGAACTCAAACCAAGCCAAGTTCGAGCTCATAAGTTTTTGTCTCGAGCTCAAGTCTCTAGCTTGAACTCGAGCTTGAGCCTCATACTTAATTTCATGGTGAGCTGAGCTCGAATAATTAGCTATATGGCTCAGCTTGAATCCACCCCTTACATTTGATTAACAGGAATTGCAAATTTGAAAATGATAATTGAATAATTCAACCACTTTGTGTGAGACGACCTTAATTGTCCTGCTCATTTATTTCCCTTTATTTAGTTCTTTTAGTAACTGATTTACGGTAATCAAACAATACTTAGTTAAATGCCTCTATCATATAGAAATCTTTTGGCTTTTCTATTATACTACTTCACCTATTTCTCAAATTTCTTTTTTCAAATCAAGTGCCTTTAGTAATAAAGTCTTAGTGTATAACCACTCTCTTCTGTCATTCTCTTTAAATAAGTGCTTAGCACACATGATTTAGGAGTTAACTATTGGATCTTAAC